GCCATATTTCGAGGATCACTGTAGATCTAGCACATGATAATTTACAATGTAATTTGTTTTTCAATTGAGGGGTCCCAAAATTTCCATGTGCACACTTATAGCTGCTTACTTAGTAGTTCAAAATGTTGCACTGTTCTTACTCAGTATAGCGATTTTCCTGCCAAAAGTCGTGCACAGAAAATTTTATCAGATCGATAGTCTGGAATCAAAGTTTCAATCAGTTAATATTGGTAAGTACATTAGTGCCTAAGCTGGCCGACGCTGAGATGCCAAGTCACTTCGCTCGTCCTCTCCTCAAAGATCGGCCGAAGTCACCAGTTTGAATTGATCGATCAGTTCCTGAGCAGCGTGTTGCACATGGAGATAGGAAATCAGAACGCAGGCAAGATGGAAAGGGAAAACCATGTTTCAAGACATGATGATTTAGATTTCAAAAGTTCAGTGAAAATTCATCAGTGCCATTCCTTTTTTCAATGCCCGTGCTAGGGGTTGAAAATGCTAAATCTGAACGCCTTTTTGCCGCACTTGAAACACACCTGGATGCAATGGACGAGGTTGACCTATGAGATTGAGGACAGGCCTTTGGAAAACGACATCTTGTCAGTGTGTGGGACTCATTGCGCACTTGCTTTGGAGATGGTACCACATGCAAAGCAAACCTCTATAAAAAAATTAACCTGTACAACAAGTGTTAACCTATCATGCCATTTATGTTGATCAACTAAAATCAAATTTCTTATCATTAATAGTGTCAATTTAGTGGCATTCTCACTTTTTTCCAAGGACGAAAATAATCGCAGTAACCAGTATCACTATTATGGCTTGTAAGCTCACACTTCACTTCAGTGCTCCCAAGCATCTGTACTAGTTCTTCAGCCTGTCTGTACCACAGCATGGATGGCATCTGTCCTGAGGCCCGGTTTCTTGAAGCTGGTGCAGGGGGCTTTGAGAATTGTCGAGGATGGAGCCTGCCATGCAGGACCACCGTGCAGTTCATTTATTTGGTTGAACAAAGGAACTTCGAAGAGAAGTATGAAAAATGTGATGGGCGATCTCAGCCAGAAAACAGTGGTGCAAAGCAACGCGATTCCTGAATCAATTTCTATCAATTGATTTCTCAAAATCATTTTCTGGAATCAAAATATGCCGTGCTGACATAATGCAATTGTTTTCGCAATACCTGCATCACATGTTTTTTTTGGTTGCCCATGCCCATGGGCAATTTCCACAACAAATTTCTGGGATGGATATCCTTGAGTTCTCGGGTTCAACTTTCTGACTAAGGATTATGGCTCGCTTTTGCTTGGTGGCCATCATCTGCATTTGCAGATGTGTGCATGTTACTTTGGAGCAGCCACGTAGTTCGATAATGAAGTTTGTGAAATACTTTAGATGGATCGCAAAAGCCCTTGGACGACGAGTTGCGTGGCAAGTTGTGAATTAGTCCCCAACTCAGTTCTCCAGAAATTAGAATCACAAAAGTCAGCAAACATTCGTTCAGCTTCATTTCAATCTCTGATTTGGGAATACTCGAGTTTACGAAACATTTCTCAAATAGCCTATCGAACCATCACAGCATTGCCCATCTGCCAAGTTGGATGGGAAGCTTTGGCCATCCATGTCCCAAGCCGAGCACAGCTTTTGGATCAGCGTGTGGGCCCCAGACATGTCAGGGTTTTAGAACATTTATTGAGAAAGTGCGTTACATCGATATCTTCCAGCTTCACTCTGATCGATGATATCTTTGATAGCTTTATTGGCTTTAAACGCTGAACTTTCATTTGGCAATATTGTCACTTCCCTCGGCCTACTGAGTCCATATCTTGGTGGTCTTTATCGAAAGCTCTCCAGGAAGAAGCAGCAGAAGATGAAGGAAAAGTTGGAGAGCCAAATGGTTATTCACTACCGCAGCTCCACGGGTGTCAGGAAAGTGTAAGATGCTCAATTTCCTTGATAGGGGGTCCCAGTCAGAATTGGCAAAATAACAATTCCCCAAACGGGAAAGTCTCAAAATACGGGGGATCCCGAAACTTAAATTATATAATATAACTTATATTTTAAAAGTTATAGTTCGGAATCCACCTCCTTATTTTGAGACATTCCCAAGTCACCCCAAATCAATTTAACTTTTGCATATCCCAAGGCGGGGTGGACCAGCACTGAAGCGTTCCCAAGTTTACCCTCGTCGCTATGGCCGTAAGTTCCAAGAACTTCACTGCAAATGGGTGGTTCCTAGGCTAGCATTGATAAGGGCTATGATGGCATTTTTTTTATCCCATGTGCATCCTGAATAAAGTCTGCGCTATGCAAAACCAACCTTGCGCTCTAGGCTGATCATACTGGTGAACTTCGCAAAGCACTATATGGGGATAGCAATGACCTTGCCACAGAGCCTGGCATTCGTGAAGCCTTTACAAAGGTTGCTCTGCTTAAAAACTTGAAATGAACACTTCCACCGCAGTTTCAAAACAAACAAGCCATTTTTGCTTTGAAATTGCTGTTCTCTACTTTCTTATCATCAATCAAACAGGTTGGAACTGCAGCCTCCATCTTAACAGATTTACCAAATTTCCTCTTGGCCCTCAAACGGATAGGAAATTTGGCAATCCGATTGGGAATGTGAACATGTACCCCTTTTGATTTATCAGGTTTCCAAGCTTAAGGGGTTAAAAATGTGGATATGTCACAATATGTGTCAAAGTGCTGCGCCTCTTATTCAGTGGACGTCCTTCCCCAAAATAGAAATCTATTATATTTGCATGTCTTTGCCATGGGTTCGTGCTTATCTTGAGGTATTTTTAAGGCACGTTTTAACGTGCGAACCCAATTTATATGTAGCTACTTGCCGAGTATATTTGTCTTGGGTTCCAAACATGGCCCCTTACTTGAAACATCCTCATACAGTGGTTCCCAGCATCCCATGAACCACAACTGCCTGTTTCTGACTCGATCAGGCCAAGACGCTGTCCTGGTGGTCCCATGCACAGCTGGAGGAGGTGAAAGTTTTCCTTCGGCGTGAGCGTGATGCTGGTCGCTTTCAGCCCGTGTTTAATGATGGGCTTGACTGACAATGGTCAGGGTCATGAATGACTCATGTCATACTCATGTCTAATTCAGAGCTGACTACACACGGGACAAGGAGGTGATATGGGTTTTATAGCATTTCCTGACCAAGTATCTGACATTTTGCAACATCAACTTTCCAAAAATAAAATATGTACTTGTACTAAGCCGTTGCTAAGTTCATACCCTGTGCTGTGTGATGACATATGCCAACCTGGCTTGCACTTCTGGCCAAACGGCCGACAAATTGGATCAAAGGGAAAACATTCGGAAACAAACCGAAAAATCCTGAAAAAAAACGATTTGACAGCTGGGGGGGTGCGTGGTCCCAGCGTGGTCCACGCGTGGAAATTACAAACTTTGCCGTGGAAATCCCAAACTTTGCCGTGGAAATCCCAAACTTTGCCGTGGTCCCAGGAACCCTCAAAATCCACACAATATCGTTCGAAATCAGGTTTTGTCGATAAAAACATGTTTTTTTTGGGGTTGTGGTAATTTTGGGCAAATGGTGAAATGATTTCGTGATATCCATGGTAGGTGGATTACTCACCGCTGCATTTGCTGTGCTGCAAAGGGCTCCATGTCTCTTGGGGCGAGAGGTGTTCAATGAAAACCCACTGTAGGTCATAATTGCCAAGTTTACTGAATTTAGAGATGTAAAACGATTTCATTTCTTGACATATCTGTTTTGATCTTGCCTGGGGCACAGTCTAGTACAGTACTAGTTTGTGCCCACCATGGATGCTGCCCAGCAGTTCTTAGCTGCAGCCAAAGCTCGTGCTGCCAGATCGAGGGCTGCTGACGTCCATCCCGCTCCGAGCATGCCTGGAAAGTCAGCCAAGGTGAGATCGTCGAATACAACTTCGGGACAAGGCCTGCAACCACTCAGCTCATGCAAAACAAATTAACAAATATGGATCATGCTGGGAAGGTAGTGGACGGCTTTTTGAGGGTCTCCACCCCCTAAGCCACGTAATACCACTTTGACAAGTTTTTTGCACGTCGTCTTCTGCCAGGTCCGCTACTCAGGGGCTCGGCAGCAGGGAAGTGTTTGATGAATTTTTGGTTATGTTTGGCTAAATTTTGGCCCATGTGTTTTGATAGGGTTTCTTTGAATCAATATGTTCTGCTGGTCGCTTCTTGAATTGGCTGGAGGTTTTTGGCCGCGATGCCAGTATTGGCATAAAAATGTCCATTTTTCTGTGTGTAGCTAAAAGGTTTTTAGCTGCGCGTTTGACATCTGCAGGGATAGTATCAGCCCAAGATTTGATCTGGTTGCGTTAAGAGCTGATACCTGATGAGTATTTTTCCATTTTTAAGAGCGTGCCAGTGATAGTCTTGACGAAATCCCTTGCTTTTTTCGCAAGCTCATGGTGGGCTATAGCACACATGTTGTGTGGCAAGCGGGCCCTTTCCGTTGAAGAGGCTTTCGATTTTCCTTTTATCATATTTTTTGCGCCTGTGCCCAAATTTGTGGTATTGTGACCCTTGGGACCCCAGGAATGGTCCTGGTGTAGGCATTTCTCTTGCCAATGGCTTGGCAGTACTAGCGTTTTTTCAGTCTCAAATTTGTTCTCAGGTCGATGATTGATCTGGAAAAAAAAAAATAGACACGTGATATTGGCATGATTGCCTTGTTCGCAGTACGTATTTTATTCACAAAGGTAAATTTTTTTTCTTAGTTATCTAGTTTACGTTGATGGTCTTCACCATTGGATCCTTCTTTGCAGGTGTGGCTGGCATGTTTAAGCGCGCTATCCCAGAAAAAGTTTCGAGCTTCTTCTCTGAATGAGCCTTGGTAATTCTAGCAAGAGTTGTGAACTGTAATGCTGTCCTTCAGCAAAGGTTGTCACCCCGACATGTGATCAGTTGCAATCTTCCTTCTGCAAGATTTCGCCTTGGTTTTTTCCTGATTTTGCGGCGGCATTTTTAAAGCTATGCATTGTGGTCATGGCACTGCGCCTCCTCCACCGCCTCCACGTGCTGAATTTCATCAGGCTGCGCATCCCGGTTTTCCTTTGCAGCAGATGAATCAGATGAGTGGTGGGTACTTTCTTCCTCAGCACATGATGGTCCCTCCTGGGGTTTGGGCACCTAGCCATGGAATGCCAGCTACGCACCGTTCACATGAGCGGTCGCGGTCACCCAGAGGATCGCATGATGAGGTGGCTTCCTTGCTTTCTCGGCTTCCCCCTGCTGAGTTCAAAAAGGTGTTCAATGATTTGCCGGCATCTCTTCGAAGCGTAGCCTTTGATGCTCCTGATGGCATCATCACGGACGTTAAGTCCATCTCTGACAAAGAGTCTCGCATGGAGATGTGTCGAAAAATCAACAATCTTCGTCGAGAGAGAATCCAAGCTCTCGCGACACCCCAGGCAGCCCCTTTTTATGCCGAGGATGGCATGAAGATTGTACCTATGAGCCGATTGACTGAGCGGCATTTCTGGGATGTCTTCCATAGGATCCCGTTGAATACCACGGATCCAGTCAAATGGAAGAGCATTCTCAAATATTTGGATGCATGCCCTGAAAAACCACGTTCATCACCCAACGCTCGTGATATTGAGTGGGCAACCCCAGATCTGCCCTTTGAGGCTGCTCCAGGTGCTGCTTCGCCTCCCCGAGGTTCCCTAGATGCATTGAGGGCCATGGCTGTGGACTCACCCGCTCAGAAAAAGGAGGATACTACCTCCCCAGATTTCCATGACTGGGTGAAGCGGCGGGTCGATACAGACACTGCCAGCCTCACTATGGCCAATTTTGAGTTGGATACCAAGGCGCACCGCATTGCTGGGCGTAAGACCCCGGCCGCCAAGGCCTTGTTGGCCCTGTCGCCCTTGGAAGCCATGAGTGATCTATACCAGACAGTCTTCCGCATTTATTTGCGAAAGCTGGAGCGAATCATGCCGAAGCTCGGCGCAAAAACAAAAGAGAACACATGCCTCAACAAGCTCTTGGATGCTTTGAATGTCAGCCCTGACGAGAAAGTTCCGATCCTTCTGGCTCGGCTTCGCGCCCTTGACATTGTGCGAAGGCCTTCCTGAGTTGAGCTATTTTCTGCTGATCCTGACCTGAGTGCTGCCCTGAAAGCTGCCCTTGATGTTGTTTTGTTGTTGCGTTTTCGTTTGTTTTTAGTCTCACGCCGTTCTTGGGAGGACCAATTTCTGCTGATTAGCCTGGCAGGGAGTCTTTGGCTGATGTTGTTACAGGTTTTGCCTTCAAGGAGAAATGTGCGTTTATTGAAGCTCATTGGCTCTGACCCGTGGGCCCATGGATGGCAACTTCTCCATCAGTCACCATGCCTTTATATTATTTTTCCTTATCCTTTAAGATGTTCTCGTTTTGGGCCCTTGTTTTACATTGGTGAAACAACGAGCTTTCGGCGGCGTATGGTGGAACACCTCCTTCGCCTCATTGCTCAAGATGGTGCGACCCAGCAACCGTTTTACCAGGTTGTTCGGCACAACTGCTGTCAAGGGACACAGTTGCTTGCCGCCCTGAGTTTTTTGATGATGTTGCCGGTGCATCTCGCTCCCGTGGATACTGGCGAGCGGCTTTTGGCTGAAACCGCCCTTTGCCATAGTCTGGGCACTTTGAATCCGCCGACGGTGTATAGTTTGCTTCCAAAAACAAAGCAGCGGCAAGTGCAGGGTCTTCGTATCTTTGATTCTTTTCGCTCTTTGTGTAGGTTCCGCCCTTCTCAACCTGCTGCAGGGGAAATGTCTTTATCCTCTTCTGTGGGTCTTATTCGGAAAGAGTGGCGTGATGGTCTTCAAAAAATTGCTGCCGCGCTGGCTGGGCGGCGTTTTGAAAAGTCAAACGCTGCCGCTCTCGCGGCATGGAATTTGAGTCCCGGTGCCTGGGCTTATGTGGCTCGCCGAGTTGACCAATTTGAAACAGGTTGGCGGCGAAAGCGGGGCCTTCATCTTTTAGGTATCATCTCCAAGAAACGGAGAGACCTTTGCCCTTTTGTGTCATCTGTTGCGGTGTCTGTCCCCTGGATGGGCTCCACATCGGCACTGCGCATTTTGCGCGGTGAAATTCGTGAATTACTTTCCGCATGGAGACGGAAGGGGCACTGGGTTCCCATAGCAAGGCATGCAAAGTGCTTTGTTTCGTGGACTGCTCCCCCTACTTTGGCAGATTGTTTGACAAGCACGTCAGTTTTGCGCCAAGCTCTCGAAGAGGGTGTTTCCCCACAGTGTATCTGTGAGGCTGTGCGCTTGCAAAATCCTGGCTGGCCTGTCGTTACTTTTGACGGCTGTGAGCACATCGCCGCCCCCCAGGGTATGGTGCCTTGGCCTGAACAGTTACGGCATCTCGCTCGGTGGCCAGCAAGCATCGGCCTCCCGCCTCGTTTTGAGGATGTGGTTTCTGCAGTTCGGACGTCTTTTCGGAGGCTTCGTAATCGATGCCGTATTCCGATTTCGGACTCCTGTACAGTGGAAGCAGTGCAGCGCTGCTGTTCCTCCTTGTGGTCCTTGCCTGTCCAAGACAGTCGAGTCCCAATAACTTGGTCTCACGTTGGTGAAGCAAGGGAGTGGCTCCAAGCGCAGGGTGTTTTCGTCTCTGTGTTTGACCACAACCCCTCTTCATTGGGAGTTTTTTGTCCCAAGTTGGTTTTTGAGCATGCTTGTCAGTTATTGGATTTCTTGCATCATCAAAAACCTGATGCGAATTTTGCTTGGTCGGTCTCGGATATTGGTCGTCAGCGGGATGTGCTGAGTGGCATGGCTAACATGTCAGACCTTCCTTCACATTTGATTCCCGGTTTGCACACTGTCGTTTCTAAAAGGCAGTGGTGCATTGCCACAGTTTCTTTTTTGCCAAAATGGAAATGTCCAGGGTTGAAGTGGCGACTTATTGTCAACAAGCACTACACCCCGTGTTGTGGCTTGCATTCGCTTGTTTCACGGGGTCTAGACATTCTTTTGGATAGTTTCCCACGGCATTTATGGAGTGACTACCTCTCCATGGGTGAAGTGGTGTCTTTGGTCGGTGATTTTAATCTCCATGTTCAGGATTATCAGTTTGATGTTGGTTGTACAGCTGCCGCTGATATGAAGGATTGTTTCCGGCATCTTCCTTGTGAGCGTTTTGCCGACATGTGGGATGGTCTGGCTGCTTACTGGAAAGGGCTGGGTCTTTCTTGTGTTAGTGTCCCCCACAAGCGTTTAGGCTGTCGTGGTATCCTTGGTCGATGTGATGACCCTGGTTGGACCTGTATAGATTTCGCATCAATTCGTAAGATTTTGTTGGCTTTTGCAACCACTAATCACGTTGCCATAGGTTCGTGGTTAGGTCGTGAACAGCATGGTGCCCCTCAAGGAGATGCCTTGAGTTCTGCGCTGCTGAGGCTATGGAAATGGCACCGTGAATTCCACTGTGGTGTGGCTGCGGTCGCTGAAAGCGTGCCAATACCAGCCAGTAAGTGTAAGCTGCTGCACCTTTTACAGTCCAACGTTTTGGTGCTAGATGTTTCGTACCGTGATGATCTTCGCATGTTTTTTGCATGGCGTTCATGCTCGGCACTTACGCCTGATGTTGTCCGATCCTGGGCATGGGTACAGTGGCGCCAGCGATTTGTTGTTGGCACGATGTCCTTGGATAAAGCGGATGACAATGTTTTTACAGGTTTGCAGGTTGCTTGGGATGGTGCATATATCTCTTTGCGGCCCTGTACGTCGGATCCCTGGGCTGCCCACTGCTATGGGGAAACTGACAACTTTCCACTCAAACCATGGCAGTCATGGGCACCCCCACAGCAGTTTAAAACAGCTGTAAGGGGTTTGTTGTGTAGGTCCTGGTATTTCTCCACCTCACGTGCTGCACTGCGCGAAGCGCTATGGGAGGTTTTTGTGGCACTTGTTTATCGTGCTAATTTCCCTTGGCATTTCGTCAGACAACATTCCAAGGTTTGGGCGTTGTCCTGGGTGCCGAAGGGTGAGTTGCTGCCCATCCCCACTCTTTTTTCTGATGTGGAATGTGTTGTTGGTCGCTTTGAAAACTCCCTGGTGATGATTCAACCTTGATTTGTTTCTGCGAAGCAAAAGCACGGTTTCACACAGGGACGGCTTTTTGAGGGTCTCCACCCCCTAAGCCACGTAATACCACTTTGACAAGTTTTTTGCACGTCGTCTTCTGCCAGGTCCGCTACTCAGGGGCTCGGCAGCAGGGAAGTGTTTGATGAATTTTTGGTTATGTTTGGCTGAATTTTGGCCCATGTGTTTTGATAGGGTTTCTTTGAATCAATATGTTCTGCTGGTCGCTTCTTGAATTGGCTGGAGGTTTTTGGCCGCGATGCCAGTATTGGCATAAAAATGTCCATTTTTCTGTGTGTAGCTAAAAGGTTTTTAGCTGCGCGTTTGACATCTGCAGGGATAGTATCAGCCCAAGATTTGATCTGGTTGCGTTAAGAGCTGATACCTGATGAGTATTTTTCCATTTTTAAGAGCGTGCCAGTGATAGTCTTGACGAAATCCCTTGCTTTTTTCGCAAGCTCATGGTGGGCTATAGCACACATGTTGTGTGGCAAGCGGGCCCTTTCCGTTGAAGAGGCTTTCGATTTTCCTTTTATCATAAGGTATATTGAATAGAGTACACAGGTGCACGTTTGTCATTTTGGTGTGTGGCACCTTGTGTGTTTTTGGATCTTTTTTGAAGGGCACACGGTGGCATGTCTCAACAAAGCAGGGTAACCCGGCTTATCTATCCTATGCATAATGCATATCCTATGCATAATGCATATCCTATCCTATGTGTTCTGACATTTTTCAATGACCGATGTGATACGGCAGGTGCAAAGGCTGCTGATGATCACAGAGGTGATGTTAGCCCAGCATCTACTGTTCCTGCTGATGATGAGGCTGCAATTGCATCTGCAAGAGCTTCATACCAGAGTGCCAAAATGAATACACCGGAAGAAAAGATCAGACGAGCTCCAGCCACCCCAATGGCTCCATTGTCTCGAGATGTGCAATCAGTTGAGATTTTGGGAGGAGAAGGAGACAAGACAACTGAGAGAGATCAGAAACGCAGCAGTGATCAAAAGAGCAAAGTCAACAAGAAGAAAGGTCCTTTGAAAGCACGCAAGACAATGAGAAAACACGTCAAGAAAGCCAAGAAAGTCAAACCGACTACCAAGGATGGAGCCAAGACTACCAAGACCAAGGAACAAACACCTGCCACCACTCCTGCCACCAAGAGTACTACCACCAGTCCTGGTACCGATGCCTCGGCCACACCCACCCCGTCTACCACAGACACCACCACTGGTCCTGGCTCTGCCCCTCAACAACCGCTTCGCAGACCTTCCGTGGAAATTGGCAGCCCCGACCTCACAGAGATCTGTTCCCCAGCACCAGGAGCAGTGGCAGGTGTTTTGAATCGAGCTGCCACCGGAGACCTAGCTCAGACCCATGCAGTAGTTAAGGCAGGTGCAGAGGCAGCACTGCCGCCAGTTGGTCCACATGAGACACGTGTTAGAGACGGCACACGAGTGCGAGTTCGCAACAAGGATTATCACAATCGTCGAATGAGGTTCTACAGGTCACTAGACAGTTTCTTATCTTGATTCAAAGAAAAAACATATTCAACCACTGTATCCTGGATCCCCATATCATGTGAGCATGTGGTTACTGTTATGTCACAATCGATTTTTAGTTATGATGCGAAGCTTTGCAATATCGTTTTATCTTAAACGACAGTTAAGACAATCGCCCCAGCCAATTCTACACTGTATTTTGTTGGGGGAATTCGATGATGCATGATGTAGTTTGTCTTTACCCCCTGACTTCCTTGCTTTGCCCGCACCGTGATCTTAGGTACGTCCTCGCCATCTGAAATCGTAAAGCTGGGTGAAAATGCTCGTGCAGGGGGAGGACCCAAACCGGTGGAACTAGTTTTGAGTGATGAAACCCACGCATACACGTTTCTCTGCACCTGCATGAATCTATTCTACACACAATTCGTATCACATCTGTGAAGTTGCAGCTTTGCTTTAAAAAACACAATCCATGGCGATACCATGCATCACATATCACATATCACATGTCTGTTTAATGTATGTAACATATTATTTCCCTTTCATTGCTAGCTTCAGTTTCGTCTCATCTTCATAGAAAGTATGATTTCTCTCCAGCGCAGGACGAAAAAAATCAGAAAAGATGGCAATCCTCTTCGAGGAGTGGACCAACTGCAATGGGGACTGGTCGACCTCAAGTTTTGTGGTGCGCATGAGGGAGCGTACCACTGAGAAACAAAAGGGTGGGAGGCGATGGATGACTGAAGGAGACATAGTGGACAAATACTCGAAAGGAAGGACAGTGGAGGAAGCACGACAGATTGCCAGGGACATTGTCGTGGGAAAGGAGGCCTGCAAGCACATGAGAAGTACCCACATTCGTCCACACCCGGACGCGCCGCTGAGGCAGGATATGAGATTGTTTCTCATATGGGATGAAGAATTCGAAACAACAGAAACTGATTCGATTGTCGAAGCCCTTTTCCAGTGCAAAGACTCAGATAGACATGGAAAGGATGAGAAGAAGAAAAAACGCAAGCGAGAGACTTCGTCATCTTCGCAATCTGACAAGTCCAGTGACTCTGCCAGCAGCAGATCATCTAGCTCTTCCAGCGACCGTCGCAAGAACAAGAAGAAAGCACTGAAAAAGGGAAAGAAGTCAAAGCCAGTGAAGCACAAGCATGGAAATCAAGGTAAAAAGAAGGGCAAGAAGGAGGTGAAAGATGAGAGCAGCGACTCAGACAGCAAGTCTGAATCTGAGGATTCCCAAGTGGCAGCAGGCAGGAAAGCCAAGGAGGAAAAGGAGAAACAACGAGCGGCTGAGAAGGAGGAAAGGGAGAAACAACGAGAGGCTGAAAAGCAAGCTGAGAAGGAAAGGAAGCTTGCACAGAAAGAGGAAGAAAAGGAGAAAAAGCGTTTGGAGAGCCAGCAGAAGAAAGAAGTGACTAAGGAAATCAACAGGAAGAAAGGTGCAGCGAAAAAGGCCAGCAAGATCATTCTTTGATTTTAGCTGCTGAGGTGGAACATAATCAATGTGATATTAACTTGTGAATACTAGATGTGCCGTGATTTTTGCAATTCCGTGTCATGTATGTTTTTTTTCTCTTGATGGATCGTGACATCTTCACTGGGAATGCCTCACAATCTCAACTGACAGGAACTCAGTAGTACACGGCGGGGTCAAACATCCAAACCTTTTTAACATGTTTGTTGTGTGTCCCGTGCAGGGAGTGGCAAATTTGGACACTACCATTGCCGACACTGTGCGCCGGGAACAGCTTTCGGGAACAGTGCCCCTTGGCCAAATGATGATTCAGTTGATGATGGCTCTAAATCCAAATGTGCACGCATACTATATCATACGAAATAAATGCATTAGTGCTTTTATCCCATCAGTGTTTACACACCCCAAGCTAGATCACATAGTGTTAGGTGGACCAGATCAGCCCAACTGAATTTTCGATATCTTTTAATTGTCATGTTTATGGTAAATATGTCGATTGGTCAGGAAAGCACACTATTTTGTTCTGAAATGTTCTGGAACTAGATTGATGCAATCAAATTCAAGTTTAATCTATGTTAGTCAAGGTGCAGTCAGTTGCGAACCAAACAGCCCGCTGCCAGGGCCGATCCAGATCTTCGCAAAGCTTTGCAGAAGGAACTGCAAAGCGTCCGCAGTTCCTTGAAGCAGAAGCGTGGGCAGCTTCAAGATGCATTGGACAACAACCAGGTCACTAAGTGGAGTGTTTGGGGGTGGACACGGGTGATACTATTTAAAATACTTGCTTAAAAAATTTAATGCATATAACCTGAACTAATATTTTTTATTTGGGTCCATTTCGTGCTCGGTATATCTGCAAGATCTAGATGATGGTTACTAAAGTATGAATATTCTTAGATCGATACATTGATAATATGACTCACGATTTCTCTTTATTTGGGGTATCGGCTATTTTCGTCTGGGATTGCAGTGGCCCCATCAAATAATGTATCTGAAACATTCTGAAACAATATTTGAAATCAGCTGTTTCATATGTCTTTATGATCTTTGTTGACTAACACATTAATAGGATATGGTATGGACAGCGGTAGAGAATCAGAATTTTGTTGGGGCTTATTGCTGAAGCTTGGCAAGCTATTTTTTCCATAGCATAGTACGTTTCAAGACATCTAGAGAGGTTGGCTCTCAGAGCTAGATTCTAGATGACACCGTGCCATTACTTTGATCATTGATGGCCTTTCCTTAAGATCGGACTCGGTCACCTGGATATCATCAAAATCTTTGCAATTGGAACTAGGAACCTCACAAGTGATAACTTTAGGCCAATGGCCAGAAAATATTCAAACCGGCATTTTATTTTCTTGTTGCTGGATCTGCTACTTGATATTTTGCTTTTCCCATCCTCGAAAAAAAAGGGCTTCCACCAAAATGAAGTTATTTTATTTCATATGAACTGATATATTTTTTTTTTCGGATTTCTAGGGCATCCGACTTAAGCTAATCTACGATATACTTCAGCGTAGTCCACGTCCAGGTGGATTCGATGGAAAGTCTCGCTGACGGAGCCAAGTCCCTGATCGATGACTACAACAAAAAGAAGAAAGCTATGCAGTGAAGGGCCTAAGGGCCTTAGGACTTTGGAGCCACGGGATTTTGTTGGCTTGAATACCATTTAAGCCGAAACAGTTTGGAAGGTATCTGGATAGAAGCTCCAAGAACTGTCCTCCAAGAAAAAAACATTTTTTCGGCCAACCAAAAAAACATTTTTTGATGCTTGAAACACGCATTTAACACGCTTTCTTTTTGGGCACAGTGGGGGCCAACCAGATCACCGTCCATGCTCAGTCTTTGTGCCTTGCGTTCGCTGTGTGCGGCATTGGCTGTCTAGCTTCAGCAATAGTAGAACACGAGTCTTCTAATTGGGGAGCCACCTCCATTTGTGGGTTTATTGGGATTTAAAAAACATGTCAATTTTACTATATTTTACTAACCCAATCAACATTACTATATTCGTAGCTGGAACTTGTCAATGCTTGACTCATCAATGCTTGAAGGAGGTGCTACTAGGTGGGTTGAAGCTCTGCCTGCTTAGTGCTGAATGTCTTCAGTGTTTGCAGCCTTTGGTAGTGCCGCTGCGTCCGCTCAATCCATACAGCGGGAAGAACATGCGTGACTTCACGCGTGCAATGAAAAATGCTAGCTAGAATTGATGTTGCCAGACTGGACAGTACTTTGGTTTACCTGACAATCCCAACAACCAAAGGGGGTTCGATATCCAAGCATTGAAATATAAGGGGAAAATATAGAAAGAATTTATAATACCAGTCATTCTGTTATGTTAAATGCCCAGGGTTACCCCAAAGACTTGCCCACCCTTGGCGTTACAGTGATCGATCTGTTTTTTTCTCAGTTTGACTCCAATCCAATCCATGGTGGTTGAATGTGGTTGATATGCTTATTTTTTTCCAAATTGGATATGGTCGAAAATAGCTAAACAGGTTGAATAATTTCTAGCATCCTCTGTTTTGAAAAATACCAGTAATGACATGAATGTGGAAAACCCAGCACCGGAAATAACCCTAGATCGTTTCTCTCTCTCTCTCTCTCTTTCTCTCACTCTGTACTCTATACCATGCCGCCCAAACACATCTAATACTGGGAATTGTTTACTACCGGGTTTATTGCATTATCAAAGACCCTTTGGGTTAAAGGCCTGGACCTGCCCAACTTGCATGCCATGTTGCACCGACATCCCTCCGCAGGTGATGGCAAAGCTTGGGTTGCTCAAGGCATCATTGATGATATTTCATCTGCAGTTCCTTGGCGCAAGGTGGTTTTGAGACCCCAGAATCTGATTCGGTGGATGACACAACCATGATAACTGAGGTTTCAAGTGTTAGCAGGGGCGTGAAAAATGCACGGGCTCATGTCAAGGCCACTTATCTGAATTAATGTTGGGAATTTCCGAGCTCACATCGATTTCTCATATGTTTTTAAATCACGTCCACTATATGACCCACAAGGCAATAGAGACTACAATATATCGACTTTCGGAAAGATTTCAATACACATCAAGCCCTAAGGAATCTGGCCAGTCAGCTCATCCATGGAGCCGAAAAATGGCAAAATATTCTAGCTGGAACACTTCACGTGATTTTTGGAGAATGTGCAGGCTACCAATTGATACTTGGTTGTCAAATCCAAGTGCGCTATGTACATGTACATGCACATGTCATTTGATACAGCATGAGGACTGTTGCAGCATACTGCAACGATTTATGTGCCAAAAGTGGTGTGAGATGTACTCTGTACCAGATATTGCACATATCATCAGTACTACTGCTGTTGTAGTGGTAATCACAACTGAGGAACATATCAAGATCAAAGTGCCATTGAAATCTAAAAGATCACCAAAGGGTTTCGAATTCCATGAGATTGACATCCTGGACCCTTTGTCTGTGGTGAGCTATCTATTCAACGAAGTTGGGCTGACCATTCCACCAGAAAATGTTCGATCCTATTGGGACCATTATCGTCGGAAAGTTGCTGCTCCTTGGGCCTTGCGGCACCCAGCAAAGGATGATGCGATACCGTTGGGTCTTTACGGGGATGCTTGCAAAATTCGCCAAGGGGAAAAAATGGTGGGGATCTACATGAACTTGCCACTGTTCAGACCCAAAAGCATCAGGTGCTCTAGATTTCTTCTTGTGGCAATCCAAGAGGAACTGATGTATAAAAGGAAATCGCTGGATTGCATTTGGCGCCAAATCATCTGGCGTATGAACCTCTTACTCGAAGGCAAGTATCCGCAGTGTGACATTGATCGTCAGCCTCTCCAAGGTCCTCAGTTGAAGAAGGCAGGACAAGAGATTGTCCCTGGGAAGACATTTGCTGTCGCAGAATTACGTGGCGATTGGCTCTGGATGAAACAATGCTTTTCTTTCAAAAGTTCGTGGAAGGGAGGCTCCAAATACCCTGTTTGTTTCCAATGCGAAGCACGTGCAAAGGAACCTCACTTGTATTACAATGTGCGACATGACTCCAGTGTCTGGGAAACGGAGTACCCCACTTTGACTGAATTTTTGATTCGTCAAATGCCGTCAGATCCCAGTGACTTGAATGCACATTGCATTTGTTTTCGGGCCATTTTTGCCTTTATTAGATATGTGTGCAAGCTGTCCTATCACTGGGGGCCCTTTTGGCCACCACTGGCCATTGTTGGAAATCAAGATTTTGATTCAATTTCGTCGTCTAAGGTCCTTTGATTGCCCTTCGGGGCTTTGATCCCGGAATTGTACGTTGGTGCTCTATGCACGTAGTCAATTTAGGGCTGCTTTATGGAACAAACGCTAGCGTGTTGAGCCTTTCCATGATTAGTATTTTTCTGTTATAGTATTGGGTTTCGTTCAAAAAGATCCAACCACAAAATTCGAAGCCATTGTTCATAGCATTTCTGCAAGGATGATGCTATGCGAGGAAAAATTCTTCAACGGCGAAACTTTTGCAGAACAGTTGGAAAATGCCTATGATGACTTCAAAGATTTCGTGCGGGCTAGGAAGATCCCATGCTCTCAGAAAATGTTCACTCCTGGTTTGGTTCTTTGGCCAAAAATCATGAAATAGTCTTATTTGCATCTTTTTGTCCAAACAGTGTAATTTGTGTAGTTTTGCTTTGGTGCATGCACTCCACATGGCGGCTTGCCAGCATACATGCACGTGCGCACATGCACACGCGCACACACGTATCACTACGCCACATGCACACACGCGCACACACACACACACCACAACAACAACAACAACAACAACGACAACAACAACAACAACAACAACATGCAAGCGCACATGCACATGCGTGTTGCACACGCGCACTCATTTGCAGGCACATAGAAGTGTAGGCACATGAGTCCAGCATATGCAAGCTGCGTTCACACATGGGTGAGTGCATCACCTTCGCCTTCCCAGGTGATGAAGAAAGATGGTCAATTGTTGATGACAGGCAAGGCCTACAACAACAGGTGCATCGCAGAATGGCTCCATGATGCTGTGCTGCGAGCCAATCAAGTCTCTACTGACCCAAGGATGCCTGTAGCCTGTTTGCTGATGACGCTCGCTTTATTTTTTTGGGTGAGCATGTTTGAGACTACATCTCCTGGCTCCCTTCCTCTCCAATTTTTGTTCCCCTTCACGTGTTTTAGTCCAATTTATTTCTTGGAAAAGGGTTAGGTGTCACCTTGCCAAGGAATGGTACCACTCGATACTTTGGGATCATGGAAAGATCCCCCCGGTTCTTGCCACTGGTTCTGCAAGAAATGGTACATGTCCTTGCAATTTTTTCACATACATGCACGCATGGGTAATTTCGAAATGGTACATACCAATGCGAACTGCAAACAAATTATTCTTATGGCTCCTGTTGCACGTGCTTCACTGGTATTTTGTGGAAGCAGAACTCGTTTCGCATCAGGACCCCAGAACAAGCAAGAGCTCTTGACCATGCAGGGATGACCTACATAGAGGCCCACATCAAGATTTCCCGGATGAGTTTTCTGAACCCTACCAGCATATATTAATGTTGTGCAGTCACAGCTATTGATCGATAGATCAATCTTCCAGACAAAATGAGCTGGTGGCCTGGTAGTATCCTTCCCAAGGATGGAAAAACCTCATTTCATTCTGCGACCGAAGATCCATGCGCCATGGTTGCAAGTCTGCCACATCCAAAGTTTCCAGGAGAGCAGGTGAGCCCATGGCAATTGCCCAGCAATGTGGACAGTGAATGTAGTTTAGTCACTGGTAAATTCATTTACTCCTCTACAAGAAAACACCTTAGAAGAGATGGTTCCAAATACATGCAATGATGAAAAGATCTTTAGATATTGATCATCAATATTATTGGGAGGAAAGGCTGAACTTGGTTTGTTCAATCACAATTAACGAAGCCAAACTCTTTGTCTTGCATCCTTCTATCCATGTGTGGCATGAGGCTATGGGTCACCTTCTCCGAAATGTGCGGCGTCACCGACACTTAGCTTCAAAAGCCTAGATCGCTAGCCCAAAAAATCGCAGTTGTGCCTATGTTGCCTTATGCCTGATCATCTTCTGGTTCATTGTCATCTTAACGATGAATTTCCTGGTGATGTTTCCTTTACAAAATAAAATGTATATATGTGATGCGCTGACCAAGCAACGGCTGAGGTGAGAACCCTCGTCATGTGCATACATTCCACGACGAGGACGCAATGATGTGGCTGAAACGTGCCTTTCCGGCATCAAAGTATATCACCACTATATTATATATTTTATCATGTACGATATTCAAATTTATTACCCGGGGAGTCCTACATATAAATATATTCAGCGATGGCATGTTTGTTTTAATCTTGTCCCATCTATAGAATCCCCATTGAGAATGACCACGCTGACCACGCCCACCACATCTTTGCGCGCTAAGTGCTTAGGAATTTCCTTAATGGCACATCAAGAAGATGCGAAACAAAGAGCATTCTGCCTACGATTGGCCAAACTCAGGACTGTTTTGGATTGTTTTGGGAGTTTTGTCAGAAGGCAATGGTTCACTGAAACAGCAGATGAGAAATTGTGGAAACCATGGGATAAGTAGGGTCAAACATTACTAGTTGTTGCCAAATTTTATGCATTCACATTTTTCCCAGGCTCACAAACGGAGATGTCCCAAAATGAGGTCGTTTTTTTCCTTTCAATTCAAGTGATTCATTTCGGAACCCAAAAAAGGCCACATCATTTTGAAGCATATCCTGAAAATAGATGTTAACTACTTATGCATGTCCTAAAACATTCTTAACCTGGTTTATGGCAACTGTTCAAAGCAATTTTTGCTGAGAGGATCCTATCTATGAAGTGGAGGATTACCGGGTTCCTTTGATGATTTAGGTGATTCAATGGATGAATTCTGTTTGTCCTGTGGGTTGAAACTGACCTCCGCACCTAAGGCTCAATCGATCATCTGCTAGCCGCGCGTGATTTACAAAAAGAAGTGCGAGCAAAAACATGTGGTGGAAAACACTCTTACATTTGTTCATCATTAACTAGATCAAATCATCCGGATCTCGAACTCACATGTCTCATTGGCTTATATTAGCCCATGCTGATCCAGTGGTGCACAGGCAGGCTCTGATTGGGTGGGTGAGCGTGGTCCAGCGTGGTCCAGCGTGGTCGACCATGTAGGGGAAAAGAATGGGATTTACATAAAAGCAGTGGCAAAGAATCCCCTTTAGACTCCCAGGGTATATATATATATATATTATATTATATATATATAGTACGTGAATGCGAATTTTCGATATGGAAAAATCCTCCAACTTCCAAGTTTCTGAGCCATGGCCGTTGCCCTCGCTTTCACTTTCACCGAGGCCTCGGTGGAGCCCAAGGTCTGCAGCCGCTGAAGCACCGCAGTGATGCGCGCCTACACCGGTGATGGGTAAAACGTTAAAAATGTGAAGCCATGGGGAAAACCATGGGAAAACCATGGGGAAAACCATGGAAAACCAGTGAGAACATCTAGAAATGGTACATGTCACCATGTCAATGTTAAGTTGGGCGAAAGGGTTGCCGCGGAGGTGGTAAAATCGCAATTTCACTTCAGTTTTTGGCGATCGAACCTCGTTTCGTGCGAAAGGGTTGCGTTTCGTGCCGTCTCGTTGGCACTGCCCCGCGCCTTAAGAGAGAAATAGAAAAGAAGGAAAAAGAAGAGAGCAAGAGAGCAAGAGGGCAAGAGAGCAGGAAAAGGGCAAGAGAGAATGTGAAGATGTGAAGATGTGAAGATGTGAGGATGTGAAGATGTGAAGATGAGAAGATGTGAAGATGTGAGGATGTGAAGGTGTGAGGATGCGAGGATGAGAAGATGTGAAGATTTGAAGATGCGAAGATGTGAAAATGTTTGGCAGGCCCCCACTATTAGAAGAACCCTTCGCTCAGACGCTCTCGGGAAAAACATGGAAAAACAATGAAAAACACAAGGTTTCGCGACTTTTCTACCTTTTTGCGCACCTGCATCTTCTTTCTTCTGACTCTGTCTCTTCTCTGATCTTCTTTCTTCTTCTCTTCTCTTCTCTTCTCTGACTCTTTCCACCTCTGCTTTTTCATTTGTCCATATTGTCGGAAGTTTGACTTCTAAACTTCCTTCGATGATATGACATATGATATGTGGGTAAAAGTGGAAACATGGCAATGGCATACACGAATAAAGCCTTCTTAAGGGCAAACCTTAACTGCTAACAAGATCCAACAACCACGATTACAAGGGCAAATCTTAACCATCTAGTATTGAAGGGGGTTTGAGACCCCACGAGTACATCCATGATCATGATCTTCTCATGATTGGTTAATGTGGGAAATGGTAATCAATGCTGAGCCAATATGAGCCGGTCTGGTGTATTGTCATCATTGATCATCATTGGTCATCATTCTTCAGCATTTTTCGACACCTATTGAATTTCCAATGGGGGTTGGCTCCTCTACAAGCCAACCGCTAGCAAAAGAACGCAGAAGAACACCTACGTTCACGATGTATAGAGGTCCCAAGCCTCCGGGAGGAAACAAAGCTCCCGAAAAGCTGCATAAGAAATGATCAATCATGATGAACCATTGAACCATCACAACCTACCGTCAGCCATGATCAAGCATCAACAGTGAAGAAACAAATAGAAAAAGGCAGGGCCCCCATCGTTCACAAGCCATCAACATCACCAACACCATCAACCATGAGTTATCATGAGCAACCATCAACAACTGTAAAACACCAACAGCTGTGCAGGGAAAACCCATGGGAAGCCACTGCGAACACCGTGCCTGAGCCTGTGTCTCATTCAGCACTTTGTCGGCTGAGAGTATGTGAGTGACTCCCTTCTCTGCTTCCTGCACTTTTTGAAAGGATCACAAGTTTCCTAAACTTGGTTGAAGGCTGAAGGCAAGATGTACAGGACCCCGCTGATGGTCAGAAAACAAAACAAAACATAACATAACCATGGTTGCTTGCGGTTTTGCCTTTGAATCAGCCCATTGAATTTCCACGATTTCTTAAGAAAGACTGATTCGTATCATGCTACCTTGAGGTCAAAAAGAGAATGCGCAATCATCGGAGTCACAACTTCACAGGAAGGACTTTTCATGACTTATCTATACATTTCTGGGAAGCCCTGGGCCATTCTACCTATCCCCATAGCAACCCTAACGGCTGTTTTTTCGCAGATTCAAAGCCGCCTGATGTTGGCAACCGCTCCAGTTGCACCTCGAACCCGTGCAAGTGCCGATTGTCACAGCGCTGATTGCCCGTCACTTTGGGGTAGCGGTTCTTTTTTTTTGGCTGGGATACCATTGGAATATGCACAGACCTGAAGAAGCGATGATTTTTTTTGATGTTTCCATCCAGTGTGCAACCACCATCTATGCAAAGGCCCTTTAATGGACAACCTCGACCACCTACTTGAAGCTACGCCCAAACGATCATGTCACACCGCGTTGCAATAGAAGAAAAATAGCACCAGTCATCACCAGTCTCAAAAATCGCTTGGGAAAAAGACTTCGGAATGGAAGTGGAGTCGATTCTTCCGCCTGAGGTGGTGACTTTTTAGTCTCTGAACTGGGCAAGTCTTGACACTTTCCACCATTCTCCTGGGGGATGGTTGATGATGGGCGGATTTTTTGGCTTTTTGTTCAGCCATTGCCACGAGACCTTACTTGATATCGTAGAAATGAACAGAAATGGACAACAGGATACAACAGCTTCCCAGTCCTGGATGTCTTTGATTCCATCTCACCGTAACTTGATTTAGATGTAAAACAACAGCATCCTGCTAGACTCAACACATCACACATTGCTGAGATCTTGACAGCCATGGTTTCTTTGTGCCGCTTTCGCTCACCTCAGCTTCTTCTCAGCTGTGCAGCTTCGATCAGCTTCGGTCCCAGCGGTCCCAGCGGTCCCAGATGGTCCGAGCTGTTGGCTGCTGCCAGATTCACTCCTGGATCCAAGTGGCTTTCAGCTTGGGTTTCCGACTCTTTTCGGAGAAAAACCATAGGAAAAACCACAGCAGTTGGCCAATTTTAGACGAAATCCATGCAAGGTTACTATGCTGTGGAACAGCCCCTCTAGGTCGATCCTGGCAGACCCAACAATCTCAATGTTTGGCAAAATTCTACCAATAAGAGATTGTTACATGGCTGCGGCCACTTCCCCTACTCAACTTTGGCGGCTTGGTGGGAGTGATGTCTTGTGGGTATGCCTTCAACAATATTTCAAATTGGAGCCTGAGGGTAGGCCCCAACCTGCAAGCGGGGTGGCAGTGAGGCATCAAGGGAAGAATAGCTGAATAGTTCATGTTCCAGCAATTTGTCGCAGGGTACTTGCATCTCCGGGTAATCATGGTTTAGGTAATGTAGTTGTTCAAATCTGGCGTGGTCCCTTTTGCCTCCATATTTGGTTTGTCCCACTTTAAGATCGCTTGACCATACCTCCAAGTTAGTATTCGTGCACCCCACTTTGTAGATTTGATTTTTCGGTGAATAAAGCTACAAAATTCATCAATCCTTCAAAATCCTTTGGATTTTAACCGGGTGCCCCATTTCATCATATTCCATCCACTCATGATCATTTTCCTGATGTTTTTTAGATTTCAGAAAAGCCATAAAAATGGGTATATTTCATGGTATACCACATTTTCAGAGCCAAATAAATGGTGGCTCACAGAGAGAGGGAGAGAAATATATATATATATATGTATATTATATTGTATTATATGTACATATTCCATGGAATATCCGGATGAAATCTCACGAAAAATAGGTGAGATTCCTGTTGATGGTGATGTTCCATGATATCCGGATGAATATCCTGTTGGTGAAATTCCTGTTGTTAATGATTGTTAATGATTGTTAATGGTAATATCCTGTTGGTGAAATTCCGTGAATATTCCGTCTGGGTAAATTATAATATTTCACTAACCTGAATTAAGGCCATTTGGGGATGATTTCCCTTACTAACCATGATTTCCAGTGAGGTCGTAGTGAGGTCGTTATAATTTACCCAGATTCCATGATATCCGGAGCTGTGAATATTCCTGTTGTTGATGGTTACCATTTTCCACAGCTCTGCCCGTCTCCGCCCTCGCTCTCCAGCTGCTCCAATCGCTCCAGCTGCAGTCGCGGGGTCCCCAGCCTCGAATGAAACGAAACAGGTCAATTTGTTATGACAGATTGACACGTATTAACATGGATCAGGACAACTTGAACTAGATATTTCAAAAAAACATCAAAATGGATTTGAACCAATATTGATATAACATGATATAACATGATATAACCACAATTTCTTCACCAATTTTTGGATTTGAAACAGGGGAAGAACTTCAAGCCGTGTCTGCTGGTGTCTGGCTAGGACGGCTAGGAGCTTGCTGTCACGAGTCGCCACCAAAAAGATGCCATTCGTGACAGCAACATTGTGGATGATGTGGGCTGATGCGTGATAATATATAAATAAATAAATAAATAAATGTATATATTATAATATATATTACAATAATGATATCTAACTTTAATAGTAGCAATAATGATCATTAAACACCAACAATGATATTTAACTTTAGTAATAGTAATGATCATTAAACACCAACTAGAGGCATCATTTCATCGACAATGATTCGTTCGAAGATAGCACTCAACAAAAAGACCATATCATCGACAAAGATCAGCCAATGTAGCAGAGATCACGATAATAATATAATAATTATAGGCAAACCAAAGTTGGAGGGTTTAGCCCCATAGAAAAACAACATCCACCACATCCTACCCCAAGCTGGATCAGCCAGGTGCATGCACTCTGGCTGTTTGATCCTCAACCCCATTGCAACTCAGTTCATGTCGACCCTCAAATTTCACAAACGCTCATTTTTTGGGGGGTGTTACCCCCCAAATAGTGATGAAATGTGATGAATCAGAATTAAGATGAATTAACGCGTCTGGTCAAACTGGGGCTGTATTAATCCTGATTTACCGCAAACAATCACCCAGCTGTAGATGACGTACATTGACTTGCCGCCAAATTAACATAGCTATGGCAACATCACCTTTTTAAACATTGAGTATGATATACAGTAGTAGGTAAATCCATGTAAATCCTCAACTACCCTTCGGTAATCAAACGTGGCAATTGAACATCCACCATTTAGGTTTTTCCATGAATTTTCAGCGAACTAAACCTCCATGGCTAGTTCCGGGATTGCCGGCCACGTTTGATGACACCGGAGAGAACATATCATTACTTTCATTTCTTGACTACTCATGACTATCACTATTATACCTATGATTTCTATATTAGCATTATTATCCCATGATTATCCCAATATATCCCAATATTATATAATATTATCCCATGATGATCCCATTTTCAGCTAGCAGTGCCCAAGGTCACGGCCACACCATCGTCGCCGTTGATGTAGGTTGATCCCAGCAGTTCCCAGCAGGTTCCTGCGCCTGAGCCATGGCATTCATGGCATATTCATGGCATATAAATATGCCACTCATAGGGGGTGAATCTTCCCAAATTGCAGTGGGAAACCTGGCCGGTGGCAAGAGAAACAAAAGGCCCAAAAGGCCAAGATCATTCTCAACCTGGAATATGAATTTTGAATGGGTAGGAAGTCGTGCAGTTCTGACATATATAATCTTCCGAGCACTTTCCACATAAGAGATCTACAAGATCCTTACATGTTGGCCGGTCCAAGCAGGGACAACAAAAAACAAACCTGGAATTGGTGATCCTGTGAACTGTCTTCCAAAAAGAATAACGACTTATTTTTTGACCCTTCTAACGTCCCTTTTAAAACATGCAATTCTTGGCACATCTAAGCCAACCATCCCTAAGATCCACATCGACATCATCGACCTTAGATCGATAAAGTGTATCGCCTGTGAGCAGTGTCCAAGCGAAAGTCATCCACGTTGTTCTTCTGACACCTCGTCGGGAAAACGTAGGCATGGCGCCATGCCTCGCCTTATCCCACCTGTTCTTCGGGGTTTCCTGTGCCAAGCCAGGGCTTGTCTCCCATTTCATCCACTGGTGAATCAGCATGTTTCGAAAAAATGCCATTTGGGTTGCACTTAGGTTGCATTTCAGACGAACACCCAATTCTGATTCCTTGCTTACAGTCGCTGTAGGCGCTTCTTTTCTGCGCAAATTTGGGGCTGCAAACATCGACTCCAGCTACATGTGGATACAGTAACGGCTCGTTCGTTTTCGGTCATTCACCAGCCTTGCCCTTCAGTACTAACACCAAACATGGGTCATTAAATGTCCCCATTGAACATCACCCAACCATTAGGTATATGGTCAATGCCATGGCTACTATAAGGTGATGTCCAATATACCCAAAATGGGACAGTTACCAACCCCTGCCAAACGGTTTCGTGAAACATGATGAAGCACCTAAAACTTGGATGACATGAAGACTTGTTCATAAACCAGCTTGATGGAAACCTGCGTCACCTCCCCCGTGTGGAGCGGTACCGCCCCAAAGCCCTGCAGCTTTGATTCCAAGTCAGGGGGAAGCAGCGACAAAGATTGCTCTGCCCGGCTGGTGCGGGCGTTGAATCAAACCTGGGCGTCCATGGCCCATCTTGGGCCCATCTCGGTTGATCTTGGATGGCAACATTTGTGGCAACCCAATTTGCTTGGCATCAAAACCAGCAGTTGTGGCATCATCCCAATCAGCAACCGTTAAAAAACGTCAATTTCCATAATTTCTCCCAAGAAAATCCCGAAAACCCCAGGAAAAAATAGGTCACAGAGACCATTCTGAGGATATCTGGGGCGCTTGCAGGGAGGCAGTGCACAGCACTGAACTTTCAACTCTGAGCTGTTGCCAGGAACCTGAAACTTAGCAGGTACAAGTTCCGATGGTACCCTCTGGTTATGTCAAAATAGCTATTGAAAATGGTGATTTATAGTGGATTTACCAACTGAAAATGGTGATTTTCCATAGTCATGTTAGTTTACCGGCGGGTAAAAAAAGGTAATTTGTTAAACCCAACAATAAACTGCCCCCCCAAGATCAACACTTTTATGGATTGAAACCATCCCCATTTCCCATGGTTTCCCGCCTTACCAGTAGAATGCATCGTTGATTACCCTCCAGTACTCATTAGTAATCTAACCCGGCTGGCTGGAAACCTTCCACAAAAAGTTCCGACGCGGAAGTTCCATTTGCAAATGATTTATTCCTACCAAACAAGCCAGCTATTCACCAGGCGCTTCTCCCTGGATACCTTTCTCAAGCAGTTTACTGTATATCAGGTGACTATGAAACGTTCCCCGGTTGTTGTATAGATTGTTTGAAATTGCCAATTCCCATGAACATCCGCTAGCCTACCCAATGGCGCCCAATGTCCCATCAACACCAAGAAGATTGTGGTGCTTCAATCTGTAAATAACCCATATAATAACCCATAGAACCCACATATATACCATATATAATCTGTATATAACCCATATAGAACCCACATATAAATACATATAACCCATAGTGTCAGAGAACTGGGTCATAAGTTATACCATGCTTATTAACCACTTACATCCACTTACCAACTGGGGATGTAACTGAGATGCCTCATGATCCCTCATGTAGGCTTCCAACCTTCACGGCCGTACAGGACCACTCCATCACAGGTGCAATTGCCAGCCTCTCTGGCACATTCCACGCCTCAGTGATTGCAGGATGGTCATTACGCCTGACATCGCCTGACATTCCACTGATTTTCTCGGGAAACGGAGCCATGCCATATCGCCAAATGCTTTCACAATGGATTCCCAGAGCCTATAGCCTTCAGCAATCATTTGAATCTCTCCAAGTCTCTGCGTCCCTGCCCTTTTTTAGTTCCATGCAGGTTTCTCCACAGATTTTCTAAGCACATGGCTGTCTGGATCAGCTTCCTTGAATGCCTGCAGCACTGGATCGCTGACGATCGCTGTCCATGTCCTGTGAAGCCAGGCCTCTCGATCCTCAAGCGATTGCCTCGAAGCCCCGGTTCGATATGTTTCTTTCGGAGGAGATCTCAGTTGTTGATGATGTTGGTTCAACCTTCACTTGTCACAAGTAGAACAATAAGTAGAATGATATCTGTGATGCCAAGAAATGACTGCGGAATAAAAACAACGGGTTCTATACATCCAGCTAGGTGGAGCGTCTTCTTGGCTGCTCCTTTTAGCAAAAAAACAACTATAGCTTAATGACTTTCTGGCGGATAAACGCATTGATATATATATATATAATACACATGTATGTATGCGCGCACACACACACACACATATATATATATACGCATACCATACCATACCATATCATATCATATCACAAGTATCACATATATATATATAATTATATATATTGCATTGGAGGATCGCAACCATAATTTTTCTTGGGAAATCCAGGCTCAAAGCTGCACAATCCTGACTGCTCACCTTAGATGGCTCCCATGGTCATCTGCTCGCAGGAGCCTCCCAAGATATAGCAGGATCAATATATAAAATAAACATGAATCAACCGAGAAATCTAGATCAACATATCAATTAAAGTCAATTTTCTTCATATATTTTGTAGATAAGATCTTTATGCTTGTGCAAATGTAAGAAAAAATGACACACACACACACGGACACATTTAATTATAGTATAATATATGTATACATTTATAACTATATACATGCCGATAAGCAAGTAGAAGAACCAACGACAGTTTCATATTTCACCAACAAACATCGTCAGATATTGTGAGATGTGCAGTAAGTGTGATTCTTTTCAACCTCCACGCAGCAAAGGATTCACTTTTGAAATCTTTTGCATACATCCTGCGCGGTAATCTAGACATTCATCCACACGCCGCATGGGGAGGACAAAGTGACAAGGACAAGGGATGGGGGAAGGGAGAAAGGATGACCCTAAGGTCCCAAACCTTCATGGTTCAGATACTAAGATGTCTCTCCTCGATGTCCCTTCGAACTACCAAGCTCGGGTTCGATCCACCTGTTTTCGTTCCAAGCCATCGATTTTTGACTCAAAATCTCTACACATCTCTACACTCAAAACTTCCTTGGAACGGGTGGGCTGTGCATATTAAAAAAAAAATCACCCTGGTTGCTTGCAATATTCCCAGATTCAAAAAAGGGGACGACACAACGACCAATCACGCCCCTGCCATCCACCATCCGATTCCGGCCTGTCAATGCTGCCATCTGCCCTGACCTGCCATTGGAGAGTAAGCTGCAAACCTTTGTCCTTGGGATGAGTATATTCAGTCTGAAACTTGAAGTTCAACCATTTCAACCCATCATTTGATGGGGCTAACCCTGGAATTCACCAGAAAGCACGCCATAACCCCGTTTTGTGCTTGATGATGGTTGATGATGGTTGATGATTTGTCTTGCTTCAATTCTGTTGATTGACCGTCTGCCTCAAATCCCCAAATGCTGTACGACGCCTCGGCATGAAAGGCCGCCGCCAGCTGGCCACCTGCCAGCTGAAGACAGAATCACCCCCCCAAAAAAAGTTGGTGAAAACACCTGTGGCAAGACATGGCAAGACACTGATCAAAATCCTTTGAAGCATCAGGTTAATCACTGTAAAAAACACCATGAGGAAAATCAGCAGGCTTCTAACAACTTGCATGGGAGACTTCACTGAGGTTTGGCTAAGGCTCTGGCTGGCAAGTAGGGCCTTGAGGCGACTATGGAGTTGTCAGAAAACAGGAGCCGGGACCAGCGTTCCAAAGTAGAGACAGAAGGTCTCAAAACCCATTGTTATCCTATTTCCTCTCTCCATTGCCATCGGCCATCAGGTTGCACTGTCCGTTGGACGGGTTGAGCTCATCAATTGGGGATTGTCCCACTTACCGGATGGCAAAACAAACGCTAAAAAGTATGCCGCTAGGTCCACACAAAATAACACATACACATATATTATAAATGTACGTGTACACACAAATGTGTATACATACATATACATATGTATAAACAAATAAACAAATAAACAACTAAATACCTATATAATAAAAATAAATAAATAAAAATAAATAAATAAACATAAATAAATAAACATAAATAAATAACAAACATAAATTAACACATAATTAAATAATAAACAAATAAATAAATAAATAATATATACGTATATATTGTCCCAGTCACCCGACCAAATCCTCAACTTTGATTTCCCAATTTTTGGTCCGCCACCCCGCTGGGTCTATGCCCGCTGCCAAGGTCTTCATTGGCAAGCAGGTTGTACCTAGCCAAGGTCGCCGGGTTCACTATCCATTACCATTCATTATTACACTATACACACACACACACATATATATATATGTATGTGTATGTGTATATATATTTTTATTGTATATCACATTGTATTATATAATATTATATTCCATTGCAGTACATTGCGTTGCATTGAATTGCAAAAGGTTCTTCATGTGCATGATATGCAGGACATTCCAAATCAAAAATCTCCTGAGCTGGCCTCAAATGGAAGCCCGAAGGCAGAATCTGTTCTGTATACGTCAGAAGAACACATCGAGCCAACTTGGCTGCGACATTGTTGGGGCGAAGGTCCTTTGCAGAAAACCCAGTTCTGATGGTCGATGGTCACTGGGTCCCTTGGGTCATTTTGGGATCACTTAAGACTGTCTTAGCGGCCACTCAGAAGCGTGCAAACACAATCGCACACAAATAACACACACGCATGTTTATATTCATATATCCATATAATTCTATATGCATATAATCACACACACGCACATATATATATATATATATACATAGATGAACAACTTTACATGTTTGTAATATATTTACATTAAGATCATTTAATCCCCAAGAAAAACACGGGACGATCATCGAATTGGCATCCCCAAAATGGTCCCTTTGAAGTGATGAAACCCTTCTGTAGGTACCAGAGGTAGACCCTGCGCCCATCTGCGTCTGCATCATTTTCATCTTGGCCCCTCTGACTTGGTGCTTTTACACCCTGTCGGCCCATGCTGAGACCATCCTTTACCAAAGTGAAGTGAAGGTGTCAATGCGATGCGAAGAATGCGCTTCATGCCTGTTGGGGTCATAAATGCAAAAGTGAGATCCTAAATGGAGTTATGACTTTTTTTCTCTCTTGGAGTTATCATTCGTGGCCTTCGTGGCCCAGCAACGGCGGCAAATCTCCGGATCTCGCTAAAACCAAGAGGAGGCATTCTCTTCTGCACCCTCCTCCACCTCAAATGCCATGGGATCATCTCTGGTTATTGTTTTTTTCCATGCACTCACCACGGTTCCTCATTAAGTGGAGTATATAATGTGATAGACACACGCATACACACACACACACACATATATATATTATATATATAACATATATAAACATGCCATAGCCCTACCATTTGGTTTTGGTTTCAGCCTCACCCCTTTATGGTCATATTCTGTCATATTGGGGATGTTTTAAAATTAATCAAGTTAATCAGGTCAAATAGGCCACCGTTGCCACCCCCATCCCCATCGGCCTTACAAAGAGCATCATCCTCACCACCATCTCCACCCATCTCGCAGCCCATGAGGGTCTCAGTCCACTTTGACCCATGGACTGGGGTATGCCCCAATATGTGTATATATATATATATATAGCGAAATATATGGGTGTATAAAGAAAACATACCGTGCAATACACACACACACATACGTGTATATATATATAGTTATAAATACATATATCATACACGTACGTATAGACAGCATCTCGCCAAGATGCTTCAAGTAATATCTATCAATCTGTCTTATCTGTCTATCCATCCATCCATCCATAATCATAGACAACAACTTGGGGGTACACCGTGTACCCCAACATATAACATACCCTATGGTAATCAAACATAGCAATGGGACATATCCTATAAATATGGCTCTTGATTGGAAAATCAACTAATAAACAGGGTTGCTCCAGCTCCCCAAATGCAATGGGGGGAAACTGGGTAGATAAAGAAATCAATGACTAGTTCCCCCTCCTTGTGGCTATCACCTATGCCCATACTGGATTGGATTCTCCAGCCATCAACCTACCTATCCGGCTATCCCCAACCCATCCAACCCCAAATCTCAGCCTCCAGAGCTGCCAAGAAACTGTTCCCTCACCCATTGACTGCAAACAGCGTCCGAAGGCTTTGAGGACTCGTGTAGCATCCGCCCGACCTCCAAGGGACCCGAACATGTCAGCACTGTCCGGTGTCCGGTTGGTTGCCCGCAAGGTATCGACATTCCAACAAACGATTCCAAAATAGAGACGTATATATATATATATACATATGTATGTAGCCATAGCACTGTCAGGATCCGGCATCATACATCTTTTGGGTTTGAAACTTTATCCAAATGATTCATCTCAGGAGAGTGTTTTGCTGTCTTCTTCATATAGGCTGTTTATACGCATGAATTCAGACAGTTTCAATGCCCGCTTGCCATTTGCATCACTTCAGAGACTGAAAACAGAATGTCAAGAACAGGACGAACATCATACCTTGTAGTGATTCCTTTTTGCGTGATGATACATGCATATATAAACATGTCATATGTACGTAGTTTTGCGTGTTTTATGTATGTAATGTAATGTAATGTAATGTAGTGTAATGAATGTAATGTATGTATAATTTAAACTGATAGCATGCCAATATATGCCAACCCATCCTGTTTGATACTTCGACTTCGATGTGGCCAATCATTTCCAATCAGAATCTTGGAGTACCCTCTGGTAATTAATAGTGGATTTTCCCATTAAAAATGGTGATTTTCAATAGCTATGTTAAATTACCAAAGGGTAAAAGGTTTAAAATGTCAACCCTGGATTAATAACCCCCAAACGGCTGTTTAATTGGGGGGATACCATTTATGTACCATATAAAGTGACTATTTGGAGGGTACCCCCTAATTAATAAACCATGGTTTAGCAAAATCCGGGGTTGACATTACTCAACAGGCAGTATCCGCCTACAGCCGCGTTGTCTTTGCGTCCGAGTCGGCGAAGAAGAAGCGAGGCAAAGTCGTGGCAAGTGTCCTGACCGGCTGGAACTCATCTTGGGAGATTTCAATAAATCATTACCCTCTGGTTATGTCAAAATAGCTATGGAAAATGGCCATTTATAGTGAGTTTTCCCATTGAAAATGGTGATTTTCCATAGCTATGTTAAATTACCAGAGGGTAAATCATTAACACATCTGTGGATGGAAGAAATCCTGCAACAGTTGATAGATGGTTTATCGATGTTTATCATGGTTTATCCCATTATTTATAGGGTTTCAACATGTTTCAACCATCCACGGTGGTGCAGGATTTCTTCCATCCACAGTATGTATACACTCATACGCGTATAATTTGGGCCCTTGTAGATTTGACTTCTGTGAAATCATACTGTGATATGGGGATTTCCATAAATGGGGGATTCCCAATAGGTGGTTGGTTTATTATAATGGAAACTCCCAATCTAAAATGGATGATTTAGGGGTACCCCCCATTTCTTGTTTCTTCATCCATCAGTGTCCATCAGCACGTTTGACCGATTCCTTGGTCCCAGTATATCCCAGTCCTGCACAGCCTGCAGGTCCTCTCGGTCTTGGGACCCCAATTCCACCTCGAGATTTCCTTTGAAGCGCGTTCCTGTCCCTTCACCTGACAATGGCGTCTTGAGAATCATGTGGCCCATCAACCCATGGGTCCAAATAAAGGTGCCATTTCTTGGGAGGTGAATGCCCTCCTCGGGGCAAGTGGCTATGAAGCTGGGGTTCAACTCATCACCACACTGACGCAGGCCTAGAGATGCTGCCAGCAGATTGCTTCCCACTTTCCTCAGATCAGCCACCAAGCCGCACAGAATGCGGTGATTTCGTGCCGGATCGTTGAAGGATGTGCCAGCTCAGTTCCTAGCTCTGCGCAGGATGCCCCAGACTTCAGGTTGTCCTGAAAGATCCTCGGGTCGAAGCGTCATGGAAAAACCCATGGGGAAAAAACCTGTCGGCCATCCCCACATCCCCGGGTTGAGATCAAGTTGAGATCGGTAACCCAGGTGTTGTGTTTCAACCCTGGCCAAAAATGATGCAACCGGCCGGTCACTTGGATGTCACTTGTCACTTGTCACTGATGTTTCGCTTTGCATCCTGACATATGCTGACTATGTCTGGGAAAAGCCTTTTTTTTTTTCCAAAATTTTCTCTGAGCCCCGAAGGAACATCCGAATAAAACAACTGGTTTTTTAAAAACTCCACACTACGACTACGAGTTTTTGTTGAGTTCATCCCTTCATTTTTTCCATCGGATGTACGGCTCCGAAAATCAGACGAAAAAAGGCACATGAGACGAATCTTTCATATACTGCTTGGTGGTGCAATGTGCCCATCTTGAAAAATATGACAATGGGAAGGATGACATTCCATATGGAACATAAGAAATGTTTGAAACCACCAACCAGTATACCGTGTCATTTCTCCTATTGATGGGAACAGCATGGTTTCCGGTGAAGATTTTGGGCCTCCCGACTTGGAAGGTCCTGCAGCGTCGTTGGGATCCGCCAAAGTAAGCCTTTTCGCAAGGTGAGCAAGGCTTAGCTCTCCGGGGCTATATACTAAAGCCTCCAAGTTGTTAACATGATTTCATCAATTTATTTGGGAACCTTTAAAGGACTAAACATAACTAAACTATCGAGTTTATATATATATATATTTACGGATTTATTATGATTTATTCAGCATGTGAGCTACTGCCAACTTGCAACAGACTTGAGAACCCCGGGGTCAGGAAATCTCATTACAGCGCAAGCGACAGGAGTTGACGGACTTGGAAAGTGACACCACATTATGGCCTCCACATTATTTCTCTTTGGACCCTGCTAGGCCATATTCGCATCTACCATTGTGCTCTCCAAATAGAACACAAAAGAACCACTCAAAAAACAGCATGGAAAATGATCAGGTGCCGCTGGAACCTGCATCCATCTACTGTAATCATATATCATCTACGTGTTCTACATTGATCACTGCTTGACATGAATCTACAGTGTTTCTCTTTGGGGGCTATGCTCATCCGTACTTTGAGTCCTGGACTTGCAGGCATCTTTGATTGCCACCATTTTGTCCAATGGAAGCACGGCCGAATCGATTGTCAAGGCATCCTGGGAAGCGACAAGGGCGGCACGCCATAATTCTTCAGTAGCTTGTTCTAATCCCATCCCCCTTGTATTAAGCACCCCCCATTCTATGGTCGCAATTCTGCGGAAATTCTCTAATTACAAAACTATGGTTTCTGGATGTTTCTGGGAGGTGTTTAATAATAGGGGAAAAGGATTATTTCCCTGGCATGTGGCTCACTTGGCCAACTATTGGGTTATGCATCAAACCATTTCAAAAACCTGGTGCCCGATTGCTCACCGCAAACAAAATTGGATTCATGATGATTTATGGACCATTTATGGATGTACATCCCTCCAAATCTATGGACGCTTATAGGATTTGTTCATGTTATGTTTCCTTCCTCCAAGATTTGGTTCAGGGAAAACCTGCAGGACACCTCCATATTTGGGGCATAAATTCCATGGGTTTCCTGCAAAATTTTCCCTTGAGACCAACCCATTGAATTCCCATTTTGCCCATGTTTTTTCTGAAGTTCTGGGGGCAAGGCATCGAAACTCGTCCGTAAGAAGGAACCGTGTGCCGCAACTCGTCTGGACCGCGGCCTCCCGCTGCTGATGTGGATGGTTCACAGGGCCTCTCTAACGTCTGCCCTGATTGATCCTGAATGTATAGGGCACCAATGGGCCCATAATTTTTGAGGGTTTTGGTAGCAACCTTAGTATAACACACACACGCATATATATATATATATGTATGTATGTATGTATGTATGTATGTATGTATGTATGTATGTATGTATGTATGTATGTATATATACACACATATATATATATACACATTTATATAACATTAAACATATATCTATAACTATCCCATTTTGGAGCTTCATCATTAGGAGCTGTGGCCAACTGTGGATGTCCGTCAGAAATTTGGAGGTGCCTCAAACCTAAATAGCTTCCCCTGCCTCAAGTAACTATGACTAGTCACTCAAAAGAATGGAATTTTGCCGTTTGCTCCACACGACTTGTACCACCTTCGGGACGGGTCCAAAATGTGATTTCAACAACTATGAACTCTGAGAGTCTCTGCCATCAAATTATGACCTTCATCCTCCCGTCCACCTGCCTCGGTAGCAAGGCATCATACTGCCACCAATCACCTTGGTGCATTCCAAGACCATGTTCCAATGCAAAAAACGAGATCCAAAAGGCTCTTGGGGTCCTTGGAACAGCGTTCAAATATGGGCTGGACAAAAAGTGTCCCCTACTACAAGTTTTAGCATGACTCAGTTGTGCTTGAGGGGACATGGATCCAGTTGGGACACAACCAAAATCTTAAAGGTCATCATTAGCCCATCAACCAAGGGGGTTCACTTCCAGGTTGCCCAAAAAACATCAAAAAACTCTTCTGGTTTGCATGATCCTTAGTGATTTGTTCTTTCATCTTCTCAGGTTTGCATGACGTATTCTGCAAAGGACCACCGTTTGCATCTGACCATTTCTGATGGTTCCTATATGGTTCCTATGGCTCAGTCAGCCTCTCTGGCTGGGCCATTCCGTGCAGCAAGTGCTCAGGGCACCCTGTGGCATGCGACCTGATGGTGGATTAACCAGTCGGCCCCAAAAACTAGGCCCTAGGCTGTTGGCATGGGCCTCCAGAAACTACTAGGAAAAGGGATCACTGGATATCACTAGGGTTTATAAATTTATAGTTTGTTGCTTGGAGCATCTTGGAGCCCGTAACATCAACTAGTCTTCCTGGCCACTTCCACCACGGATCTACTTGTACAGCTGTAGTTTTGTTGAGGGGCCACCTCAGACTTGTTTTAAAGATAATTTGTAAGGGGAGAACGCCACAGTTCATCAACGCCATTTTTCCATCCAGTGGTGGTCCCTGTCTGTCTGTGTCCCTGTCTGTCTGTGTCTCTCTGTCTGTCTGTGTCTCTGTCTGTCTGTGTCTCTGTCTGTCTGTGTCTCTGTCCGTCTGTCCGTCTGTCCGTCTGTCTATCTGTCGATCTGTCTATTTGTCGATCTGTCCATCTGTCCATCTGTCCATCTATCTATCTATCTATCTATCTGTTTGTCTGTCTGTCTGTCTGTCTGTCTGATTGTCTGTCTGTCTCTGTGTCTGTCTGTCTCTGTCTGTCTCTGTCTGTCTCTGTCTGTCTCTGTCTGTCTGCAAGATTGAAAACGAAGCTATTCTGTGAGACTCCGACGTTGAGGTGTTTTGTCCATTTTGACTTCAACATGTGCTCCGCGACACGGTGGCGTGCAGAGCCGACTTTTCGACCCTCCCGAGCCCCAAAGCATTGAACAACACAGTGTTTTGCGACTTTTCTACTGTTTCGCGCAACTTGATCTTGTTTCTACTGACTCTTTCTCTTCTGACTCTTTCTCTGCTGTCTCTTTCTCTTCTCTGACTGCTTTCACCACTGTTGCTGCATGTGCCCATAAGTCGGAAGTTTGACTTCTAAACTTCCTGCGGCCAGGCAGGCACATTGAAATAGTGGCTTCAACTTCCAACAAAAACAAAAAGCCGACTTTACCATGTTTAACCCACCAAATGTGGATGAACCAATGAACCGTGATGAACATTCCAGGCATCGTCCTTCACAGGCCGCCCAAAACGCCGCCGCCTGCCGTTCCGCGCCGGAAGCCGCCGGAGGCCGGAGGCCGGAGGCCGGAGCTGGAAGATGAGCGAAGCGAAAATGCAACGAATTGTACAGTAATTGGGATGTGACCCACGGGAATTTCACTCACTTACCACTGGGATGCGATTCTCCAAGTATTTGGGCATATTGACATGTGTGTGATATATACATATATATATATATACATCTCTGTGTGTGTGCGGTTTAGCAAGAAGGTGCAGAGCACAGTGGAGACTGCACCCAACGAAGCTATCCACTGTTGCTGGAAGCAGAGTCTGATCAACTCTGCGTACCTGCTATTTAAATACTGATTTTCAATTTCGTGATGGCGACCGGCTAAGCCTAGAACCGGAACACATTTCCACAGTTGATTAGTTCTGAAACAATATGTGCTTGCCTTGACAGGATTTCGACCTAGGAAACCTCAAGGCGTCGATTTTGTTACCATCATAAAGTTCCAATTCAGAGCAAGTAATTACTCTCAGAAGTGTGTGTGTGTGTCAATGTATCATATATGTCATACTATGTGCCTGCATTTATATTCATATACAATAATGACAAGAAAGCCACGCACACACACACACATATATATATATATATATATGCATATATGCATATATATATATATACACATATTTATGCATATATGCATATAGTTATATACATATGTGTATATATACACGCACACACACTAGACAAGAATGGATCATTCTATGATCCGGCAGGAACTGAATCCTGAAACATGCAAACCAGCCTAGACCATTAGATTTACAGTAGAGACCCTTGTAGTACTTCTCGAAAACGAGGTAGAGCATCCAATGTTGTCAAACGGAGTTGAAACCAGATTTCACAAAGATTGACCAGGATGTTGAAATTCCAAAAAAAAAAATAATAATGATTCGGCAGGAGATTCTCAAAATAATCACAGGAACATCGGCGACATGATCTCGGCGAAATAAGCGAAATACATCGGCGACATGGTTTCGGCGAAATAAGGCAAAAATTCAAAATACTGTCGGCGACATGATTTCGGCGAAAAACTGAGGAAGGTTCTGATGCATGTAAATGTCAAAATTGATTCCAGATTGCGTCAACCGTGAAGTGAAAATACAGCCGTGCGGTTCTAGGCTTGGCCGCGTGCCATGTCAGTCAAAATTGAAATAGCAGGTACGTGACTCCAGCGTCCCAGAGTCATATCAGTCATGAATGCAGCCCTCTTCGTTGGGCAATCAGCTGCAAACATGAGATTGCCCCCCTGCAAATGTGAAAAGATTAGAGCAATAGAAGTTTTACATCTGTTCAGATGTTACACACACACACACCCCGCGTGTAGCGGGGTTTGATTTTTTGGAAGAACATCGCTGCAAATGTCGGCAAGATCATTCAAATACAAAAGACTTTCCAGTGCTAATGTACAGAGCCGCGTTCAGTCACTCAGAAGGGAGAGTCGCCTCAGCTTGAAGTGTCTGGATCGCGTCACGGAAGCTCATGCCTTCAACCATCCTCCACGTGTCGTTGATTTCCCCAGATGCCATAGCAGCCGTCAAAGTGGTTGAAAATTGTTTGGCCAGGTCTTGGATCGTCGGAGTGAAGCGGGTTGCCTCCGTAGGTGCAGTGGTCTCAATGGGGACGTTGTGAAAAGGATGATGCCCATGTACTAGAGGAATCTCAAAGTGATGTCGCCAATAATCCGCTGTGCGCAGGGACCACTCCCAGTTGCCCGAAAGACCATAAAAGTAGTGCTCAGGGTCACGACATTTGGAGAGCCCTGACATGGGGATCTCTTCGATGAATAACTCCCTGGTATTGTTGGAGTGGGTAATAATCTTGAATTGGATCTGGTGGACCACGCGGGATGAGAAGTGAGCACGATGGAGGTAGTGGTATGCAGGACTTGGCTCAGTCGGAAAAGGAACATCAGGAGGTGCAGAGCCTGAATATGTATCAGCGTGGGGCGTAGTTCCGATGTCGGTAGTTGTACTGTCAGCTGCCGAAGGTGCCGAATTGGTCCCGGTCGTAGGGTCAGGGATGATAGAATGACATAGTGCAGAAGCCTGGGCGTCTGGTGCTTGGTCTGGGTTTGTGGGAGCGAGTCCACGGTTGGGATTCGAAGGCCAAGCCAAGCCCGCCACGGTAGCGTCTCGTTTAAGCTCCATGGGTGAAACGATCAGACATGCGTGAAATGGTACGACAACGGCTGAGGAATCATGAAAATGCAAATATAAGCCAAGTCAGAGAATAATAATAATGATAATAATAATGATAATAGTGAAGTCCAGTCAGCAATCAAATTGTTCAAGGTCCACGGAAAGGACAAAGCCCAAAACATAAAAAGGTGAAATCCAGCGAATCCTCCGTGTTAATAAAGTGTCATAGGTGCAACGAAAGGAACAGTCGAGCATGCTCTTTTTGGCCCGTGAGCGCATCAGGGCAGAATCACGCCGGGGCTAACTTTGTGGCATCGCAGACGTAGCACGAAAGGCTGTGAGGTACCTGGGATGAGCCAAGAGGATTCGATGTAGTTGTACTGTCGGAGTCGCCATTCGGGCCGGTATTCCTCCAAAAGCTGCATGATCGTCATATCATTGGGGACTTGGAATGTATCACCTTCCAGGTCGCAATAGCGAAACTCCAAATTCGAAGGGTCTAGTTGGATGTTCCATTGGGTCCTCAATCTTTTTGAGATGCAGAAACGTAGTTCTCCAGTGGGAAGGATGCCGGCTTCAATTGGTTCCATCTGACGTGACCAGGCAAACAGAGCTTCAAGTTCGTAGCCACTAACATTTTTGAAATTTGAACTGGCCAAAGCCATGTAGTGTTCACGGTCAGGTTCGCTGCGATGAGTCAGTTCCTGTAAAGGAGAGTAGTCAATCAAGATAAGAACAGGTCGGTTTGGAGGAGGGTTCACGTGACCAGGAAGGCCTCGGGGTCCGGCAACCCATCCAACATTTCGGGGACCTTGTGGTGTATAAACCGTGGATGTAGCGCGATATGGATGAGGGCGAGAAGAATGAGCCATGGCGTCGAGTGTCAAGCGTAAAGCGGAAAGCCCAAGCTGCAACATAAAATGATAATGACCAAAGAGTAAAGCCCAAAAACGAAAAATGGAATGGAACGATGTACCTAGTGAGTAGTCACGAATCGACGTGTAGTCACTGGTCTTTTTCGATGCCGCCAAATAATGTGGTGTGTTACACACTGGAGTCAGACATATCCATCGGGCCAGGGTCGTTCGCATCCAGTGGACAATGTACATGTTGAGGAGGGACGGTAGGGCGATTGAGATGTAAGGTCCGGTGCAATGTTGCCGATGGTGAAGAAGGTGGTGTAGATCGCCATGGTGGCCAAGATAAAGAAGTGGTGGTACCTTGAGAGTGGTGTTGGGCAGAACGTCCCCAGCATGACTGTAAAATATGGAGTTGGTCTGGTATCGCTTCGTACGGTTGAGAGACGTAGACATTGGCATGTTCAGGGTGTGGGAGAACAGGAACAGAAGTTGCCGTAGGAGAGGAAGATGATTGGATGGGTACATCATAGTATCGGCGCCAATGGTTAGCCGTAGTACGTAGGGTAGCGCGATCGTTGGTGAGGTGCATGTTCTCCAAAAATGTTTCCACTGGCTTCCACGTTTCAATACCATCGAGTGTCCTTTCCACGATCCAAAGTTCATCCGGACGAGAAGACAAAGGATAGCTCAGCTTCTTGATGAAGACGGAATGGACAGTTGTAGAGGTTGGGATCATTCGCGCCGCCCTGGGAATATACGATGCCGAAGTAGGATCATCAGGTGGGAGGTGTGGGACTGGGTCATGTACGGATGTAGGTGAGGAGCGGTTTGAGACCAGTCGAGCAGCATCATCCGTGTTGGAGGTCGTCATGTACAGTAGCAATAATATGATATCGAGAAACACTGAACTGAAGCCGAAAAGCCGTGGGGAAAGGTCAAAAATGAAATATCGAAAACGAGAATCACAATAAGGGAAGATGAGAAGCATGGAAGACAGAGGAAAACCCAAAGTCGAGGCGGAGGACATCACGACGAGTGCTTTTTTCTTTTTTCTTTTTCCTCATAGACGTGAGCGCATCCAGGATCTACCTCTCAGGCTAATCACTCGGCCGTTTTAGTGTATCGGGTGGCCGTGACGAATGGATGCCCGCGGGGAATCACTTGAACATGGACAGCGAAGCCTGTGTCTTGTGGATCTGGATGGGGTGTCAGCAACAAAGGTGAACACTCACGGGTCGTGAAGGCATCGAGATGTTGATGAGTTTTCCATGTCGGGTAGAACCAGTTCAAAACGTCCAGGAGAGAATGAGGGAGGTCGTCAAGCATCTGAGCTCCTTGATCGGTGTCAATCATCATGTAGAAATCTGTCGCTGGTAGGTGTATCGACCATCGTTGTAAAAGCGTGTCGGTAACCACTGTTTTGAGGTCTGAAACGAAATGACTGCGAGCATAATCCGGATAGATCACCTTGAACGTCTGGAACAGGCTGTCATAGACGGCAGTGGAGAGGTTGCCCGCGACCTTGGGGGCCAGGATGTTGTAGTATGGGTTGCGGACGGCGAGTTGCTGCATAGGCTTCAGGTCCAATTGGAAAATAACCGGTCGATGGGGTGTCGAAGGCGGAGTCCGGTTTGATGGATGCTGAAATGATGAAGACCCCATGGCGGAGGACGGTGCCCTTGTTGGAGAGCGTGATCGTCGTGTAGGAGAGATCCTGTCGTGGGACATAGCTCGCAGTTGGCAATATCGATCCAGGTGAATGCGGAGAGACATAGTAAATGGCTAGCGGGGTGTATGATGTGAAGGTTCAAAGTTTCCGTGGAGCAACAATGTCCGTGTTTGTGAAGGTCATAAAGTGTAAGGACGAAATAAAGTAATAAAAGCCGTAAAGAAGAAGAAAGGAAACCCACAAGTTGGGTGGTGAAACTGTAATGCGGTGCCGCAGGACAGCTTTTTCTTGGTTCGCGCATGTCGTTGGTCAGCCAAGTTTGTCTTTAATCTTATTCCACATAGAGCGAACATCTTCCT